GCCCCGCAGGCCCAGTGTGGGGCGGCGGCTGTGGAGTCTCACAAAGGAGAACCCGTGCGGGCAGGGGGCTTCTTTAGACTTGTGGCGGGGGGAGCCGAGTGAGGGTGGGGGCAGGGGTGGGAATCACTGCAGTTCATCCTTGGGTGGAGGCAAGTTGAGATGCTGAGATCGGATTTCTTCCCCGGAGGCCGGCACACCTTGTAGTGAGGAGTTTTGGGGCTTTGCAGCCTCGCGTTCTTCTGGGGAGTTCCAGAAAAACCTTCCTCAGGTTTCCTCTCCTCGGACTTAGCCAGGAAAGCTCGAAGTTTCTGTAATCTTATCTTGGCTCTTTAAGCAGTGGGACTCTGGTGGCCCGAACATTGAGCAGGACAAGGAGACCATGACTCTTAGTTCCTAGCCTTTGCTGTGACCGTGCCTCAGTGTACCGGTTTGTAAAAGATGACTTTCCTGTTTCCACGCATCTTTATGATAAACAGAAAGACCTGTTGAAAGATGAAGTTATTTCCAGTAGTGTGTAGCAACTGTCTTGATCAACTCCCCGGCCTGAAATGTGTGTTCGGACCTCTTTGGGAGGATCCTAACCTATTCCACGCACGTAGCTGAGGCTTGATTCTGTGTAATGTATGTATCCTATTTTTGTTCTTTTATTTTAAAGAAATGGTTTTATGTGTCAGTCTTAATAGTTCTCCTTTGTTTGTTACCCCTAAATGTTCTTAGTAATTTTGCAGGACTTTTTGCATTGTATTGTTTTTTTAGTCCCCTTTCCTACATTTTGGACCTAGTAGGTACATGAGTTTACCCCCACTTCTGTTAAAAAACGTAGTTATTATAAAAACGAAAAATCATATGTGCGGGTCTAATGGTTCTAATGCTTTTGTGGGCTTGGTAGGGTGAGACATGGTTGGAATCAAATGCCATTAATCTTAAGGTTTTTCTTAAGCCATTTATTTTCCAAAATGTTATATAGGGCCCTTTCCTTGAATACTGGTTGGATCTTATGCGTAGGATCTAGTCCCAGTGTATCACCAGAAATTAGGATCCAGGGATTTGAAAATTAAAAAGGCCACTAGGGCTCATTCAGGAACCATATCGAACTAAATGTCATCTTGTAAATTCTTATATTGTTTTTTTTTTTTTTTATTGAACAAGGTTTCTGTTGGGAGGGGGAGGGGAATAAGATGGAAGTACAGCTCAAGGTCAACTTTGTTTTTATTTCATTGTGTTTAAAAATCAAACCAGTGTTTTGAAGGTCTCCTGCCTCACACCCCCAATAGAATACACTCTTAATCTACTAGTGTCCTTGGGAGGAAGCTCGAAATTTTTTTTGAATGCTTTCCGTTTTGTGGGGATTTAGGCTCTAAGTTAAGTTGCTGTGGTAACCAAAAGTTATGGAGGAAGGTTTTTAATAACCTCTTTTTATATTTGAAAGTTTTATGTTGTAGATTCCAAATAGATGACATGTTAGTGGTAGTCATATTTTGGGTTTAAGTGCTTAGGATTTTTGATCAAAGCAGTAATTAGTTGTTCAGCATTGGACTCTTTAGATAGACACATCATACAGTGTTGAATGTTACGTGTCTTCTTCACAATCTAAAGGGGAAGGGAAGTAGTATCTACAAGATGAGATATACTCCGGTGTCTACTTGGGATAAGATTGGGATTCAATGGAAAAGGGAGGTGAGGAGGACTTAATGCACCAGAAATCAGCTTTTACTTCTGTCCACTGCTTTAGCCAGGGCTATAATTCAGTTTTGCTTGGTGACAAAAAGTGATCCTATAGCTCTAGTCACCAAACAAAATTTATGAAGTGTAGAAAGTGGAAGGTGACTGCACTGTAAAGATTACTTTTCTTTTGTACTTGGCTATAAATGTCTTTCCAGCTGCCCTTCGCTCTCTTTTTTGTAGTGCCTAAACTTCTTTGATCCTTATTTGAGTATCTAGAAATTGCAATCAGTTTGTATGGATTATTTAATGGTACTGAAGGAAGACTTAAGCTGTGCTCAGGAAAAGGACATATTTGGGTCACAGATAGAAAATATTAATGTTTAGGACTAAGTATTCATTTTGAAGATTAAATCTAGTGTCTTATGACCATAATAAGTCAGATTTTTTTTAAGAATTATTTTATTCAACATTTATTAATTTTAATTTGACCAGAGTGGGCCAGAGTAAGAGAGAGGGAGGGAAAGTGAAACAGCAAGCTGCCAGGTCTGGGACTTGAACTGTAATCCACCATGTGGGAATCCAGCACCCTTAACCACCAAGCCACCTGCCAGCCCTTTATGTTTTAAATTTGACTAGAAAGAGCACATGTGTGTATGAGAAAGCAAGAGCTGGGGGGGGGGGCGGGTCCCGTGGGATGAGAAAGAAGCCACCCAGTTTGGGACTTGAACCTTGGTCAGCCATGTGGGGAGTCCAACACTTTGACCACCAGCACCCAGCCTACCTTTTAAACCATCAGAGCCTCTCTTTGAAGCCTTTTTTTTTTTTTTTTTTTTGAGAGGTTTTCCCTGTAGGGCGCGTGTGCTTGCCAGAGAGAGAGAGAGAAAGCGAGAAATCACCCCCCAGAGGGGATGTCCACGCTGCAATCCCTTCTCCATTCTCCCCGGCGTGAGTTTAAGCCACCAAGGCCGGGACTCAAACCGCTGTCGACTACATGAGAGTCCAGAGACATAGCCATTACGCTAACTGGTCCCTGATGAAGCCTATTTTGAATTAACCCCTTAATTTGCAGTGTCTTAAAGTTCTTGGAAAATAATGTATTACGAAAAAACTGGGTTTCAGAAATTTTTAAATTTTTTTTTTAAGAATTATTTTTAACCTTAATTTATTTACTTACTTATTTTAATTTGACTAGAGGGGGGAGAGAAAGTGAGAAAGCAAGCTGCCAGGTCCTGGCCTCGAACCACAGTCGGTCATGTGGGAGTACAGCACCCTTAACCACCACACCACCTGCCAGTCCCATTATTTCAATTTTTTTTAAACCCCCAAAATAAACTTGTACATTGATTCTTTTTCCATGAACTTTTTGGTCTCTTTATACAAGATTTGTTAGGGAAAAAGTAGGTAATTGTAAGTTAACTTTAATAATGAGCTAAAAGGCATTTTGATTACCAACTCTGAATATATGCTAGTAGTAATTTTTTCATGTTTCAGTTTAATAGACTATTGAATAAAAATTTCTCTCTACCCAATCACATAAACAAAATTAGGTGATGCAGTTAAAAAAAAAAATGGGACTGGCAGGTGGTGTGGTGGTTAAGGTACTGGACTCCCATATTGCTGACTGCGGTTCGAGTCCTGGACCTGGTGGCTTGCTTTCTCACCCTCTCCTTCAAATTAAAGAAAAATAAGTGAATAAATAACATTAAAAATAAACGAGTTGGGCTGGTCTGACTAAATAATGGATTTATTTTATTTTATTTTATTTTATTTTTTTGCTATAGGGCGCGTGCGCTCGCCAGACAGAGAGAGACAGAGATAGAAAGCGAGAAATCACCCCCCAGGGGAGATGGCCATCCTGCAATCCCTTCTCCATTCTCCTCTGGGGATCTTGGGCACGCACGCACACGCGCCCGGTGTGAGTTTGAAGCCAGTGGGTCCGGGACGCAAACCGAGGTTGACAGTGTGGGAGTCCAGCGACATAGCCATTACGCTAACTGCTGGTTCCAAGAATTACTTTATTTAACTTTATTTACAAACTTCATTTGTTTCAGCTTGACTAGAGAGGGACAGAGTGAGAGAGAGAAAGTGAGAAGGCAGGCTGCCTGGTCCAGGACTCAAACCACAGTCGACCATGTGGGAATCCAGTGCCTTTAACTACCACGCCACTTGCCAGCCCGTTTTTTTTTTTTTTTTTAAATTGAAGTTGACTGGAAAGGGACAGAGAAAGAAAGAGAAACCAAGCTGCCAGGTCCAGGACTTGAACCGTGATTAGCCATGTGGGAATCCAGTCGCTTTAACCACCACACCTCCTGCCAGCCTGTTATTACTATTTTTTAATTTGACCAGAGAGAGATAAAGTGAGAAAGCAAACTGGCAGGTCTAGGACTCAAATCGTGGTCAGCCACGTGAGAGACCTATGCCCTAAACCATACCAGGCCACCTACTGGCCCCTTTACCTATATATATTTTAAAAAAAAATTTTTTTTTAAATAGACCGTAGATTATTTTTTATTTTTGGAGAGGTTTGTGCTATAGGGTCCATGTGCGAGACACAGAGAGACAGGAAGCGAGAAATCACCCCCCCAGGGGGGATGGCCATGTTGTAATCCTTTCTCCTTCATTCTCCTCTGGATCTTGGGCATACACGCCCGCATGCCTGGCATGAGTTTAAGCCACTGGGTCTGGGACTTGAACTGTGGTCCACTACATGAGAGTCTAGTGAAGTAGCCATTTTGCCATCTGCTGGTCCCTAGATGAATTTATTTTTACCACATATCATGCGATGAATTCATAGGGAATAGGTTCCAGAAGCTCAGGCTTCCTTGCCATTGGTTGTCACAAAGTGTGCTTCTCTGAGTGGAGCAGGCTGGCACTTCAGTTGAACCCAGGTACCTTTCTCTTTGGCTTCCTCCTTTTTCTGGTCA